ATTAGACCAAGCCTTGTTTGAGACAGGCTGCAAGAGCCATGGGAGTGGCAGGGACCGCTGCCACAGCAAGTTTCCTATTCCAGTTTTGAGGCTTCCTTTCTTATTCACGTAGTCACTCCCTAGAAACTTATAGTGGTGAGTAACCAGTCCACCGTTCTTATTTCCAAAACCAGTGATCGACAGGAGCTGATGAGGCAGGTAAGTCAGATCTGATGGGCTAGAAAACAAAATACAATTAAGTAAAAAGAAAAAAAGAAGAGGAGGAGGAAGAAGAAGAAGAAGGAACCTTTTTTGGTGGCATATGTAGTGGAAGAGAACTGGGAACATTTGCACTGAGACACCCATAGTCTCACTGCTTCTACAGGTGGACAGGATTGGGAGTTCTTCAATATGGTGGCCAGTACAGGATTCAGATAACTCAAAATCCCACCCAGTGACTCACTCATCTCTCATCCATCCATTCATTCAGAGAGCACACATAGGTTAGACATAAGACAGAATGGAAAAGTAGTTATAAAAGTCTGGGTAGGATAGTGCAATGGCAGAGAAGCCTCCTTTCCATTGCATGGAGCAGAGGGTTTCATCAGAATGCTTCTGGTCTCTCTCCTCATCCTCTTGCAGGGATAAAAATAGAGGAGAGTAACCTTATGTGCATGCCTGTGGAGCCACAGGGCACAGGCTTCAGCAGGAAGCTGTGGGTCTCAGTTCTGTCTGCTTCAAGGCTGTAAGAATGAGAGGCGGTGCCTCTACAAGAGTAAGGTTCACGCACAGAGCAGTATGAACATGTCCACTGACTATATGACTCAGAGTCTGAAAGGTAACCCAAGATGATGGCTTGTGATAAAGGTGACATTTGTTATTTCACACTGTTGTTCCTTTCTAGGGGCTTAGTTCTCGAACCAAGGTAGGTAGGGTCAGCATTTACTAGCTCCCCAAACCCACTATCCCATGATTAAGACAAGTGTCTATTCTTTTCCTCTTTGCCAGCTGTTAATTAGCCTTTTAAGAGGTTTACTCCAGTAGAACTACAGAACGTGAATACGGAATGAGTGGTAAGACTTCATTTTACAGACTGCTATGATCAATTAAGAACAAAAACTCGGATCATAAATGTCACTTAGAGCACACAGTTTTCCATTTGAAATACTTTTCTGGAGGGGAAGGGAGTTTCTAGTGCTGAAAATTGGAACTCATCGTCTTGTCATTTAAGAGGAGCTATTCTGTTTGCCCTGCTACAGAAGCACTAAAAGCAGGCTGCTCATTCATCATAAAACAAAACCAAAAAAAAAAAACCCATAACAAACATACAAACAAACAAACAATCCACCAAGGAGACAAATCCCTTTCTAGCTCTGGGGAATCATGTGCTTACTCATGAAACAATTGTCTCCTAAGTTCCAGGCACTTCTCATAAAACATAGAGATAAATATAAAACTACCTCTAGTGGATCTACATTTTTGGATCTACATTTTTCCCTCTCCCTATGATAGTACAACTAATTTCTAAATGTCAGAATCACATCAGTGAGTAGAATTGCCTCCATGTTCTACGCATGAAGAGTGGATGACTAGAGATTCTCTCTTTAAAAATATACAACATGGCCATACAACCTCAACACAGTGAAGACTGTAAAAGAGTATACTATCCCATGGTGGGACAGCACATGTGTATGGGAGGGACCAGGTGCAGAAATAAAGCCACTCATAATTCTACCCTGTAATTTGTCACCATTCATTCATTCACAGAGGGTACACCCTGGGCTAAACACAAGATCTAAACATAAGAAACTTAAAAACCTAAGGTAGTTATGTAAAAGTTTAGGCACCCATAAATGGAAAACAAAGCAAAAGCCACAATTAGGACTAATAAAGAGGATGTTCTTAAATTCAGTGTGATATATACGTATGTATGTATGTATGTATGTATGTATGTATGTATGTATGTATCACAGCAGCTATAAAGCAGTAAACAAGCAACACCCCTTTCCATGTTAAATAGGAGCCCACATATTCAGCAAAATGAGTAAGTGCCCTACTTGCAATTATCATTTTTACAAGTTCAAGTTTACTTAAGAGGAGGGTTACACATTATAAAAACCTTCTAATTTGTTACTAATTAGAGAACGTGGCTGGCATGAATAAGTAGAAAGTTAAAGTGTAAAACAGGTGCTAAACGGTAGACCATTTTTTATAGGAGTGGAATGACAGAGAGAATAAGGAACACTTAGAGGTAACCTGTGTTCTAGGAACCCTTCTATAAAACCAGCCTTCTATTACACTGCTTCCAAACAGTAGCACATCCATTTTTATTCTTCCAGGTATTGACACAAAAGCTCAGATGTTATTATATGCCATATTTCCTTTAAAGTTGCTCTGATAGGAGTGAGTTCCAGGACAGCCAGGGTTATACAGAGAAACCCTGTCTCAAAAAACAAACAAACAAACAAACAAACAAAAAAAAAGTTTCGCTGATAAAATTCCTCTTTCCTCTTCTCACTTTTTCTCAGTGAACATGTATAAACTGGTCATTATTTGATCTTGACCTAGGATTCTGTATGTGATGGTCATGTGAGTTAGGACATTCAGCCTCCTGATGGTCTATGGGTACAAAACTCTGAAATAGGATCACTGTGTGCTATCTCCTAAATCTCAAATGAGAACTAAGAGGACAACAGCATCCTCAGCAGCAGATGAAACCAATAGCTTTGAGTCTTCAAACATGAGGGCTGAGGAGTGGGAACTCTTCCTTAAATAAATACCTTAAAACTCCCCTTCTGTGGCATTTGGACACCTAAGAAGGCTTCAGGCATTCTTCTGGAGTCAGTTATAAAAGTTCCACAAGTGTCTGTTGTGCAATCCATAGGCACTTTTTGAGGGCATTCTATGGGACAAGTTCTATGCTACTGCCTGGGAACGTAGAGTTTATGGTCTCAGTGTCCCATCGCTTCAGATTCCAGGGACAGACGTATTGTGGTGGTAAGTGTAGGGTAGACTTAAGCACTGGTTCGAGGGAATATCAGAGCAGGAGGTCCTTGTGGCTTGCAAAGGTAGAAGAGCTGGGAGGTCTGGATCGAGTTTCTAGAGGAAATTATGTCTTTCCTGAGCCTTGGAGGACCTCAGAGAAGTAGCCAGGATGGGACTGCTTCATCCTGAAAGAACTCTTTGCAAAGAACTACCCACAAGAATCCATTCCAGGGAATGTTTAAAACATGTCCTTTACTTCTCTACTTCAGTCCTCATTGTCCTTTAAACCTAGGCACTCTGTTTATTACACAGGCTTTTCAGTCAAGGAAGCCATCAGAAAATAAAACAAGCTCTTGGAAGTCTACGTACAAATTCAAAGCTGTTGTGTTTGTAAGGTCAGGCTTTACTGGTGCAAAACCCACCAGGCAAGAAATATGCCTATTTCTATTCTATACTTCTCAGAGTAAACAGAAAATTATCTTTGAGAAGACTGTGGACTGCCAAATGGGAGGGAGTGTCCCTTACTTTCAGGACACAAAAGAGAAATTATAATTAATGTTACCTGATGGGTAAAGTGGAAGGGTAGTGGAAGATAAAAAGACTTTGTTCTCAAGTTTCAATGATAGATTTATGTTGGCTTTCTGTCTCTGTGGCAGCTCTATCTATCTATCTATCTATCTATCTATCTATCTATCTATCTGTTATCTACCAACTTACCTACATACTTTCCTATCTGACAGAAGGGTAGAGGGGTGTGTGTGTGTGTTGGGGAGGTGGACATTTTTGTTAGCGCCCTTGGGAAAGCTGAAAGTAGAGGCATCTACCTAAGAGGCTCTGATCCTGAGATCACCCAGAGTCATTCTTGAGTTTACAGGTGTTGAGTGTGTGAGCTGGACTCATTCTACTTCAAGTAAAGGGCCAGGGTATTTCATGTGCTGTCTCCTGAGGCAGAGAGGTGAGGCAGAAGCAAGAAACTCTGTGGGTTTTTCTTCTCTGTAGCCTCCAAGGAACCGGCTCATTTCCCCTTGGCAAGCAGCCTGACGTAGCAACCACGCCTTTCCTTTCCTGCTTCAGGTCCCTCTAACCCTAAGTGCACTCGGGTTCCAACCATAATTCAGGAAGTGAAGGTAGACTCCCTTTATAATCCTACACTCATTTCATTTTATCTCATCATAGACGTATGAGACCTCTAATTTGACCTCAGAAACCCTCCTGCTAAACATGTCCCGTTCCCCTCCCCAGCCCCCCACTCCCGGACCTACCCTGAACAAAATGTCTGTGCTCTAAAGTGACATGGAAAACTCCGATCCCTCAAAATTTGCCTGACCCAACTCTTAACCGGAAAGTACAAAAGAGGCAGGGTTGTGCAATCAAAATGGCCAATTCGAAGTCCAAAATTATACAAGGAAATAGGAAGGCAGTCTTCAAAGGAAAGAATTTCCCAATCCAAGCGGCTGGTTTACACTTTCATTCTGTGAACTTTGCTAACCCTGGGCAGGACTATACAGAAACAGGTGTAAAGACAGCCCCATCCTAGGGGCATATCTGCTGCAGCCACTGCTGGGTACACACAGCGAGGGGTCCTCGACCCAATGGTAGTCCAAGCTTCTGGATGACGCACCTGGCTAGAGTCCTTTCCCACGTGTGAGTGGCAAAGGGTGCATCCCCAGCAATGTGGCCACCCAGCCTACCTTGGCTGGAGGGGAAGGGAAAGGGGCAAGTCAGGGCTATTCCCTCGCGCTGGACTTCCCGGTTGTCCACCCATTTCCATCACAAAGCTTAGGACTGGGAGCGCTCTTTCCTTCACCTTCTGCTCTGATGACCTGCTCGCCTACACCTCTCTCCAAGGCAAACGAAGCAGGTGCCTCCTGGCCTTGCAGGGCTCAGGTGAGCGCCAAGTGGTACAAGGGAGAAGGGGCCCGCTTGCCGCCACCCCGTTTTCTTTCCTCCCCACCTAGAGCCGAGCTTCATCAGGGATGTGTGGATTGGAGTGCGCGGGTTAAGAGGGAGCTTAAAACGCCCCAAGCGTCCCTTACCTTCCACAGCCATTCTCTCAGAGCTTGCCTAACGCATGCATAATTTTCTTGGCCGAGGTACTCCTCCTGCCCCGCGCTCCCCCCTCCCCTCGCTTTCGCCTAAATATTCTGCGCTCATCTGCTCCAGGACCAACCTGCTGCGGTCACGCAAAGCGAGCAGCCGGCTCCTGCTCCGCGCGAGGCGGCATGGGAGTTGTAGTCCATTCTTGCACAACTCCCGACTTCCCCCCCCCCCCCCCCCGTCCCCCGCCCGAAGCCTCCCACTTGTCTTGTGCGGCTCGACACCACCGCCAGAGTAAGATCGTATATCTAGATTCTGTGGCATCCGACTGACTACCTTTTCTTTTAGGGTCCCCGGGAAGGAAGCGCGAGAGTGAATGACATTTAGGAGGACTACATCTCCCAGACTGCCGTGCGCCCAGCTTCTTTCAGCTTTGAGAGGAGGACTCTTGATTGAGACCTTAGCTGTCAGTTAGAAGCTCTTGGGCACCTAGCAGTCTTTGGGTGAAAGGTAGCAGGGCAGTGGGCAGCCACTGGGTAGATACCTGGCTCTCTCGGTGGACCACTGGACTCTCGGGCAAGTGAGGAGAGCAGACACGCTGGATGTCTGTGACAGTCCCTCTGGGCCATCATAGACCTACTCCACAAGGTGCAGTTAAAACTTGTCCTCAGACATCCTGAAATATGTGAGGTTGTGAGGAATCCCTTCAGGAGAAACAGCTGACTTCCAAACCTTTTGGTTGTTCTCAGGGTTAAATACCAATGAGAGTGGGGTGATTTTAAAACTCTTTCAAAGATAATATTCTAAAGAGGCTGTTAACGATTACATTACAGGGCATCAGAGCATGAAACAGCTGTCTCCCAAAGTGAGAAGCTGTCTGTCAACTTTCCTGGCTAGGGCATCTCTTGGCTGCCCGTGACAGAGTCTTATAAGTATCACTCTACACAGTTCGTTTCTTTCCACATCTGAACCTATGACCTTCCTGTGGGGCTGGCTGGTACCATTTTAAATAAATAAATAAATAAATAAATAAATAAATAAATAAATAATCATGAAACTCGGACCTGGCAAAATACTGATGAAACTTCTCTGCAGTTTTCTCCTACATTCAAAAATACAGACACAGGTATGGCTGGTTGGGATAAGCAAATGGTGTTGGGAACTTGTTTACATTTAAGCTTTTTTTTTTTGTCCAAAAAGAACTCTAATGAAGTAACTCCAAAGTTCTGATAGTAAACATCGCCACTGACTCTGTGTTATCCCAATCACCAGAAAGACAGTTTTCTTTCCAAGTGAATGTGTGCACAACTATTTTTGTTCTTGTTTCTTGCTTAGTAAGTGCCAGCTTAGTCTTCCTGTGGGGTAATGTAATTGTGTACAGATATTTTAAAATCTACTTTTATGTAAGCATTAAACACCATTGATGTTAGTTTAATTTTGAGTCTACAAAAACACGTGCAAAGCAAACCTAAGCCATTCATTCTAGATACAATAGAGCAAGACCAGTCCAGTGTGGCAAAGTCCAAGAGAAAGCAATTTTCTAACCTAATATGCCATCAAGCATTGAAACTATGGGCAGAACTGAAATCCAGCCTCTCCCTTGGGGCTCAATGTATAAAACACTATGAGAGTTGAGTTTCTCTTTAGAGTGAATGAATGGAACAGAAAGGCAGAGGACAGGCTCTGTCATTGGTGCTTACACACGACTGTACTAACACAGGCACCCAAGTGGCACCTTAGGGCCTTTGAAAACTCCACAGTCAAAGCTTAAAGTCATTAGCTCATTTTCAAACATGTAATGACTTGGGTGATACTAAACTTTTAAAACCACTGAGGTCTACTGTTAATGCAAAAATTAATTTCAGTTCTTTAGTAGAACTAAAATTCTGTTAAGTCTTTAATATCTTTTCACACAGAGATGTCAATTAGTTGTTTTGGTATAAGTAAGATGTGAAGAAAATGCAAGTTTGAAACATATAAATAGTCTATGTCGAACCAGTAGCTGGACCAATTTTATGTGGTTGAACATAGAAGCTTCAATGAATCAGGCATTTTAAATCATGGCTAGTTCCTGGATTCTCGGTGTAGAGGTGAGAACTATTGTCCTCAACAAAATAGCCAAAGTAAGAAGACAGACATAGCTAAATCCTGGAGAGACCACAAGTCATCGAGAATAACATATTGGAAAAATTACTACTATATACAAGAATGCTGGCTACCATTTCTCATCATTGTGCCAAAATATCAGACAGTAGTAGCAGCTTTGAGGAGGAAGAGCTTGATTTGATGACTCACAGCTTCAGGGATGTTGTAGTTCATAGCAGGGAAGGAATGATGTTAGGATTATGGAATAGAGTCTTTGTGTGCAACAGAAAGGAAGTGGAGAGAAAAGGCTAGAATCAGAAAGGGCTACAACCCTTAAATGCCTGCCTGCCACCAACTATCTGTTTCTGCTACCCAGACATTACTTCCTGAAGCCTCCCCAACCTTTAAAATAGAGCCACAAGCCAGGTGCCAACCATTCAAGGTTTGAGCCTATGAGACATATTTCAGATCCAAACAACAAAGGTCTTCCAGGGACTTGATGCTTGATCTGATGGTGAGAAACACACCAAAGTTATAGGGACAAAGTAGAAGACAGGACATTCCTAGTAATGTTTACAACACATGTGCAAGCAGAAAGGAGAGAAAAGACCATGAACTTTCAGGAAGGGTCTAGGAAAAGATGTACCTGTCAAGGTGCTGAGAAACATCCAAGTGCACACATGCCTTGTGTGCTGTCTATAGGGCCCCAGCTCTCCTTAAAAGTAAAAAGAACAAATGAAGAATACTAAATTGGACAGCGAAATGTTCAACTTTGTCCACTGAGAAATTAATGATTCTTTGCATAGCAGCCTACCTGGATCCCTTTTTATAGACTTCTCAAAACATTACTTCTTTTTCATTATCTTTATCTAGTTATTAATTAATCATAGAATGACACCAAAGTGTCTATTGACTGATGTCATGGTCCAAGTAGCTACAATGTGAGCATTTTGCTCATTTCTTATTTACCGCTATTGACAAGTGAAGCTGGAGCCAGAGTGTCCTCTCATGGCTATGGAGACTCAACACACAAATATTAATGCCTTGACCATATGCATCCAGTTCAGCATAGCCTGTGAATTACTGTCTGGATAGTCATTCTCCCCTTCTTTTCTTTCCTTTTTTTATTCATTTTTAAAATTTGTATTTATTCAGTTTACATCCCACTCACTGCTCTTCCTCCATTCTTCCTCTACTTCTCCTCTGTAAGGGTGGAGGCTGCCCTTGTGTATTTCCCAACCATGGCACATCAAATCTCTCCTGGACTAGGTACATTCTATCCTACTAAGACCAGGCAAGGCAGCCCAGCTGGAAGAACATTTTCCACAGAATGCAACAGCTTTTGGATAGCTCCCACTCTAGTTGTTCAGGACACACATGAAGACCAAGCTGCTGTTCAGGACACCTACTACACATGAAAGGGGGTCTAGGTTCAGCCCCTGTGTGGTCTTTCATTAGTGGTTCAGTCTCTGAGAACCCAAAAGATCCAGGTTACTTGACATTTTTGGTCTTCCTGTGGAGTTCCTATTTCCGGTGAGACTCACAATTCTCCCAATTCTTTCTTTATAGTCTCTAAGCTCCATCAACTTTTTGACTGTAGGTTTCTGCATCCCTTTGAGTCAGCTGCTGGGTGGAGCCTCTCAGAGGAGACCTATGCTAGATTCCTGTCTGCAAGCATAACAAAGTATCATTAATAGTGTCAGAGATAGGTGCTTGCCCATGGGATAAGTCTCAACTTGGGACAGTTATTGGTTGACTGTCCCCTCAGTCTCTGATCCATTCCTCATCCCCGTATTTCTTGTAGATAAGATTAATTTTGGGTTGGAAGTGTTGTAGGTAAGTTGGTGTCCCTATTGCTCCACTGGAGTTCCTGCCTGGCCTCTTCAGGTTCTGTATACCCAATGCAGTGAGTCGTATCTAAGAACACTCCACTGATTCTTGGATGTCTCCCCTATTCCAGGCCTCTGTCTCTTCCTCTAGATGCCCCTTGCCTCCTTCCGTGTCAGTTGCAGATTTCCATTGATTATTATGGCCATCCAGCCATACCCCTGCCCCTCCCCACACCCAACCCCTAGCCTCCCACTCCTCTCCTGATCCTCACTCCTACCCAGTTCCCTTCCTCCATCTGCCTTCCACAACCGTTCCATTCCCCCTCCCAAGTGAGTCTCAAACATCTTTGTTGGTACCCTTTTCCCTGTTCAGCCTCCTTGGGTCTGTGGACTATAGCATGGGCATCCTTTATTTTTTTATCAATCATTTTATTCATTTACATTTCAACTGATTTCCTCTTCCTGGTTACCTCTCCACAAAACCCTCATTCCATCCTCCTTCTGCCCACTCCCCTTTGCCTCTATAAGGTTGCTCATCCATCCACTCACTCACTACTGCCTCACTGCTCTAGCATACTCCTACACTGGGGCATCTAGCCACCACAGGATCAAGAGTCTCTACTGATGTCAGATAAGGCTACCCTCTGCTACATATGTATCTGGAGCCATGGACCCCTTTATGTATACTCTTTGGTTGGTAGTTTAGTCCCTAGGAGCTCTGGGTGGTCCAGTTAGTTGATATTGTTCTTACTATGGGGCTGGAATCCCCTTCATTTCCTTCAATTCTTCCCCTAGCTTTTCCAATGGGGTCCCTGGGCTCAGTCTGTGTTGGTCAGATGTTGGTATAATATCTCAGGGAACAGCCATACCAGGCTCCTGTCAGCAAACACTTCTTCATGTAAGCAATAGTGTGGGGGTTTGGAGTCTGCAGATGAGATAGATCCCTAGGGGGGGCAGTCTCTGGATGGCCTTTCCTTCAGTCTCTGTTCCATTTTTTGTTCCTGTCTTTCCAATGGACTCTTTTGTCTATTGAAAGTGTCCTTTACCTTACAGAAGATTTTAAGTTTCATGAGATCCAACTTATCTGTTCTTGATCTTAGAGCTTGAGCCATTGGTGTTCTGTTTAGAAAGTTGTCTCCTGAGCCAAGGAGTTCAAGGATATCCTGCCCTTCCGTGCTATTAGATTTTGTGTATCTGGTTTTATGTTGAGGTCTTTGATCCACTGG